CGCCTGTTACTTCGTCACCTACGTATGTCCTTTTGCCAGCATCTTCGTCCAGGATCTTCGTCACATGCCATCAAAATGAATGACGATATCATTTTTGGCATAAATTTAACCAAAGAATTTTCAGTTTTTTCTGGTAGCAGTATGCATCTCTATCAATGTGCCTGCCGGTGTATTCGTACCTTCGTTTGTTATTGGCGCTGCAGGTGGTCGCCTAATGGGCGAAGGAATGGCGTTTTTCTTTCCAGAAGGGCTTCGCGGGGCTGGTGGACCGCTTATTTTTCCTGGCCTTTATGCAGTTGTTGGTGATTTCTATCCTAAATTTTTACGTTTTAGCATAAAACAAAAACGCATTAAAGAGAGATATTACCGTATTTGTCCGTATTTTTGCGTGTGTGTGTTTGTATGTGCGTATTTATGAAAGTGCTCGAGTACTATGGAAGATAGGAGTTAAAATTTATCAGCAGAATCTCGACTTTGTACGAGACTGGGAAATTTTCAGCTTTCTTATGTCCCACCATTCCCCCTTCCTCTCTCCCTTTTGCCGACCTAGACCGTGATCCAAGCTGAAAGCTGTAATACTGGTGTGAAATAATCTAGTAAAAGGTTTAATTCATCAAATGATGATCTAAAAACAGTTGTCAGATTCACTGATTCTGAATTGTAAGTCACTTTTATAATTTTGAAGAAGATGAGCATACTTTGATAATCTTTTTTTTTTGAACGATGCAGCCATAGTTTCTCCACCCGCCTATTTTGGGTCTCTTTTATTCGTATAATCCAATGTTTGGCTTTCAAGCACATCCTTTCACTGTGTTAGTGATTTTGTTTTAGGTGCAGCAGCTTATACAGGTGCAGTAACGCATACGCTATCAGTGGCAGTTATTATATGTGAACTTACCGGACAGCTTACTCCGATACTGCCTGTTTTGGTGCGTTAGATACATGTTGATAATTCGCTGAGACTGTCATAAATACGGTGCCCCTTCTCGAAAACTGTTCTGGACCAGGAGGGCATCGAACCACTATTGTTCGTACCCGGTCGCAAGGTATTACCATTACACCACCAGTCCTTGTACTCCAGGTTCAACCTAGCAGCACATCTGCTGTGTGTCTGCCTTTCAAGGCAAGATACACTTTTCGTCTTTGTGGAGGCTTCTTGGCCGCCTTTTCGCAAGTTTTTCGCGATAGAGTCAATGGAAAGAATCACTGGAAATCAACGGTCCGATTTCTCCACTGGAACAAACAGTCTTTTTGCGGTTTTTTCATTTGTTCCGACAGTTAATTGGCGCCAGTCCACGCCTGGAAGTCAAGGCCGTTAATTCACCTACTCCGGAGTAACTTTCGGATGAGAAGACAAGTAAAGCTTGGAAAACAGTGATTGCTTCTAGCAAGTTTTATCATTCCGGCCGTATTTGGTCGACTTCACCTGTCATAGAGACTAAATACGCGCGGTCTCTGCCTGCTTAGCTTTTAACGCTTCCTACCTAGAACCGTGTTCTGTTCTGGCTTTTACTCTTCACCCACTGAACTTTACTATTTTATAGCGCTCCTGCTAAGTTTTGGCTTCTGTGAGCTCAGTCATTCAAATTTGGAAATGTATTTTAACAAGCTTTTTCAACTTTGACTGAATGAATCGCTTTTTCCGGCTTTGACTAAATGACTCCTTCGGTTAATTTTTTACATGCTTTTTTATGCGCTATAGCGCTGCTACAGCCAGCAAAAACGCATATTGTCGAGAGGCTGTCTGTGTGTATGTGTGTGTGTATGTGTGTGTGTGTGTGTGTGTGTGTGTGTGCAAAGTGCATTTTGTCACCCACTTTCAACTCGGCACCCAGGAAAGCTGGGGGGGCTGAAGCTTCGGATATATGTTCCTACCCCGTGTGTCATCCTCCTGTTTTAGGATCTTCCCCCATACGCGCCTAAACCCCGCGTACGAGACACCCAAAGGAATTTGTTGGCGGGAAAC